TAAATATCTGCTTTTAAATCTAATGTTAGTTCCTTATCATGCAAAAGTTGTTCATATGCCTCCTTTGCCGCTTTGTGTTTGTTCTGGACTTCATACAGATGTGCAATATGAAATCGAACTTTAAAAGAAAAATTTGTATATATATTTTAATCACTACAAAAATAATTCATATTCCGTATTATTCTAATGAAATGATTTTAATTTTTTAAAAATGAGTATTATACTTACAGTATGGAAATGTAATTTGTGTACTTTTATCTCATTAGTGTTGCCAGTTACATCTGTTACAAATATTTTCTTTTTTTATTTGTTTGTCTTCTACTAAAAGCTTCTCGTAATCTGATTTTTCATGAATATATACTTGCAAATAAATGAATATCCTGCCAATACAAAACACCAACTTGTTTCTCTTGCTTTTCGTAGTTAATTAATTATTAATAATATTAATAATTTTTTTGCACTATTTTCATTAAAATATTTTTATTTATTTATTTTTTTTTTTTGTTTTTAGAAAGAAACAAATATGTATTTTGTTAGTACTTTTTTATGGACATTTTCACACTACTTTAAAAACACTATTGAATTGATTTCATATACGACAACTTTATAAAATTAGTAATTGGAAAACTTTACTAGTCCCAACCAACAACATCTTCTGTGCCTTCTCTTTGCTCTTGTTCAAGTTTTCAACGTCGTTTTTCCATAGTCGTTATTCGCGATAGTCATAGGTTTTTCAAAAAAGGATCTGATAAGTACTGGTCGGTTCCAAGAACGGTTCGCCCAACACAAAAGCAAATACCAAACAGATTCCTGCGAGTTCCAGCAACCACATACGATTACTGATCCAACTAACAGTAGTCGAGAATATCATCTGTCTTAAGCATTTATTGCAGATGATAAAGACATGAGCACACAATTTATAAGAAAATTTGAATTTTTAAATGAATTTCTTATAAAAGTGATTGTCAAAAGTAAAAAAACCAAGTGTGTTGATCATAAACTTGTGAATGGTGGTGTATGAAACCGCTGTTCAACCACACACACATACACACACAATCTTCTTTAAATTCAATGCTGAAATGATTAATATTGTTATTACATTGAAAAGCAATTATTATCACCAAATGTCATAACAAGTCTTTAATACACATTGATATTGTAATATTTAATACACATATAGGGGTTCGTTTAGAAATAGAAATAGAAATTGAAAGTATGAACTTTTATTAACACAGATAGAATCTAAATGAATGTTATCACATAAACTAGAACTATTTATGTTTTCTTTGAAAAACATGCAAAAACTTTATACTTTTCAAGTTTTACACAAAGTATCTGTTATGCACTATCTTTTAAAAACAAATTGCTTATATATCTATTCTGGAACCAGGCCGGTAGCCAAGTGAGAGCAGGATTGAGAAGATGAAATGAATCAAAAGACTATATGTATTCACATGTCTATTCATTATTAATGCATCATTACATGACTGAATTTATCATTTCATATTTTATCTGAAAGTTTCACTCCCGAAGTAAATTTCTGGCTACGAGCCTGTCTGGCACTAAATATTCATATTAAAATATAACTATTCATTAAGACATATTCATTCCTTCATCACAAATACAAAGAAAAGTTTTAGTCGTTTTAGAAATTCGAGAATGACTTGTTTTAATTCTATTATTCTACAACACATAATTCTACTCGTACATATATTCATTTCAAACAATATATATATGTACCATGCAACATTTTAATCCGCAACTAGATATAATTTCTACTTATAAGTATGATAATCGGATGAAAGTATAAATAATTTATGTATGATCAAAACTTACTCTGAAGTTGGGTGAATGTTGACGGTGATATATCAAGTAACGCTAATTGATAATGCTTTAATGATGCTTTATATTCACCAACTACTTTGAGCATAAACCCGAGACGCAAATGAGCCTCATTCGCACATGAAAAACAAGGATTCAAGTACAATAATTGTTGAAATGCTCTTATTGCCCTGAAAATAAAAGAAATAAAAATATTTTACAAGTGCACTAAAAATTTTCTCATAATAATACTAAATATATATACGTACATATTAACAACAATATACAAGTGTACAACAAATTGTGTACATTCATATGTGTATAATTTTCACTCATTCAACACATATACAACAACGTCAAATTAACAAAATAAATGCTAAATGTATCATAATAAATGCCAAATTTATCATAATATATGCTAGACTCATCATAATAAATGCTCAAGTTATTATAATAATTGCTATTGTACATAATAAATTGTAATACATCGTAGTATATCGCAGTGCCACAATAGAATAATGCTAATCACTTTAAAAAATTCTTTAATAATCACTGCAAAACACAGACCATAACTATTTATTCAAAGCTAACAGATTGGTTAACTCTGCTGTCCAGGAAACTTTTGGGTAAGTTTAGTTTGAACTTACCCAAAGGTCGTACTAAATATTTTCGAATTGAAAACAAGTTTTTTCTTATTATGATAACTCAGCGTAGTAAAGATATATTTTAAGTTAATAATCGAAATAGCTAGTTTCCGCAGAAATATACAAGCAAAAATATACCCAGATCTAAAAGTCTCATTAAAATTTATACACTTTATAAAGTCTGAGTTGTCTATTTTGACGGAATTACTTATATCTAAAAGTTAAGTGCCATTCACAATTTCCATTGAAGTTTTATCGATCATTATCTTCAGTACCTAGCGACACAGCCTAGGATGGACTACTCATGTTAAAGAGAAATGCTTTTTGGTAGCTTTATTTTTTAAATTATTTTTGGTTTTCGCTTAATTAAATTCAGATATATTTTACTGAGGTCGGTTCACATCTATTCTTATTCCATGTCGTATCAATTTCAATCTGTATGATTTCACACATATCACAGTCTTCATTAACTTCATTAACTAGCGCCATAGCCTGAAATGAACTTATCATTTCAATAAGAAATGTTCTTTATCTTTTGCCTGGTTTATGCTTGGTTGTAGTCAAACATATTTTACTAGAGCCGGCTTATATCTACTGTTACACTATTTGGTGTCCATCTCAATATATTTAATTTTGCATATTTCACACTCTGCTCTTCAATTGTCAGCGGCATACTTTCTCGTTGATTTTAAGTGTATGATTTTATAAACGTCACGATTTGGGCAGAAAACACTATGTAAATATTGGCAGCGATTCCTTGTCATCGGTTGTCATTGTATAAATATCGGCGCCATAGGTTACAGAAATTTAAAGATTTTAAGACCAACAAAATATGATTTATTTGCTTATAAAATAAATTAACTTATATCTACACGTAGGCAAATCAAAGCTTACCTTACCTACTCCTTTCAAATAGTAATTACCAATGTTTATAGTTTGTAGTTGCTGTCTGTTACTGCTTCCTGACAAGCTTATTTTCACAATAACTTTTCTAGACGCTTTGTTGATACTATCGACCTTATAGATCTAATAGACCATTCACGTAAGTTATTTGTAATAAACTCTGATTCATTTGTTATTGTTTAAAACAATATGGTTCTCATTTTTATACATTTTATTAAAACAGCTTTGTTAAAACATCATTCTAACAGATGGTTTTAGATATTACCACTTAAGTTTTTATCTAGAATTACAAAGCTCGAATAATAAATATATAATCTTGGCAAAAGACAAACGGAGTCCGCTTGTTGTAAAATTAAATTGTATGTTCTGTTTTGTATTTTTAAAAAATAAAATTAATGACGAGAATTTTAGTACATTAGAAATTATTGAAATAATCAATTATTTAACAAATGATCACAGACTGACAATGCCTGAGTAATTGTCAATCTGAGTGCATTGTTGTACTGTACTTCCTAATCAGACAGGAACAATTTAATTCCACATCTACCGTATGCCATATTCCACATTATTTTTTGTTCCTTCATCAAAAAGAATTAAAAAGAACTCATTGTGATAAAAAATTTAGGACTGATTACTACAGTAAAATCCTAGTTTGTAGGGTTGAAGAAGAACTTGTACCATTAAAATAAATTTATCTATGGGCCAATAGGCTTAAGTAAGTGCTTATGATCACCGGTTTAACCCCTAGCCTAATTTAAATAATGTCGTCGAGCTATAGAAAACTGTCTGTTAACATCATATATAGTGTTTCACTAGTAACGTAAACTAAAACTTATTATGTTGTAACATGGCATTGTTAGTGCTTCAATAAAGTTTCATAACCTAACATCTCTATGCATGTCAGCCGAAATATTTAGTTTACACAAAAGCATACGTCTTATTAAAATTAGTACACTATTTTATAAGTTCCGAGCTGCCTTTTTCTTCAATCTACAGAGAGCAGTGGTTTCCAAACGCTGGTCCGCGAGATGGTTAAATATAGTTGGTGAATCAAAATCAACAAGTATGGATAGAACACATATGCACACACTGAGACCTCACTTATTAGAAAATAACCATAAAAATTTTCCAATTATATACCTATATAATATACCTAAGCACTTATACAATTCAATACACATTATACCAGAGATGCATAAGGCATATTAAGCAAAAATTCACACAGTTTATTATTCTTAAACTTTGTGGTCTCTAATAAAAACAAAAATGTCATTGTGGTCGGTGGTCCCGGGTCAAAAAAAAGGCCGGGAACAACTGACACCATCACTCGTAGTTAAATCTAAGTGCCGACGACGTAAGATAATGTAGTTATGCTAAACTAATGGTAATCATTAAATATGTGCAATATCTGATGACAATATGTTTAAATGCTTTAACTTACGCTTCAACGTCTTTTTAATTTTTTTATTGACAGGTTAGGTTATCCAATAAATTCTTTTAAATTTAAGTGCAAACAATAATTATTTAAATTTTATAACATAATGATACTAAACGTTTAAACTGTTATTTTGTAATTAGTTAAAAACTTTAAAAAAAAAACTTTAACTATATTTATTTAACCTACTTTTAGCCGTATGTACACATATATTATATATATATATATAAAACACTTGTCGTTGTAATTTGTAAACGAGAGAGAAGTTCAAAAGATATTTATTGGTTAACTGTAATTTAAATTACCACTAATTTAATCTAAATTATAATTTAATTATTTATTTATTCTTTAACACAAAACTCATAGTTCGAAGAAGTATTTCCTGCAAGCGTTCAGATCTGCAAGGAATGAACACATGCTGCGAACAGATATTTTGATATTTTGACACGCACTTTGCAGATGGTTTACATTCATGGAGCTGGGGTCAACGTTTTGAAGTAAAATAATTTGTATCTCTTTATATATCGTGTGCTAAAATCAGCCATTACTGGTTTTGTTTTGTAGTCTTATTCTTTGTTTCTTTTCTTTTGCTATATTTAGGGAATTCTTAAATTAAGGTATGAAGTACAAAGCACGGCTATATGCACATGTGAATGTGACTCAAAAACAAACACTTGGTATGTTTACTTATTTAGTAACCATGTTCAAATATTATTAACACACTTATTCCAGAAAAGAATATATTTCTACATAAAAACAACAATCAAGCTCCACATTTACTTGTTCGACACAAAACCTTATCGACAGCTGTCGGATCGCTGACACTGCTTGTCAATCTTCAAAGACATGAAGTTGGAAACTAATTGCAACTAATGAAACAATGAGTTATTAAGTTAGGTTTTCATTATGAAAGACCTATTTTCATTTTATATTCTCTTTAAAAGTATAAGAATTAAGCTAAACTAAATCTCTTGGAAATTGCAAACACAAAAAAAAAACCCATTAATTTTAGAACTAAGTCTAATGATTAATACGATCAAGTTCTGTGAATAGCTTCACAAACCCTTTTAATAGTTTAACTATTTTCATTATTAGTAATATTAAGCCATATAAATTTCTAAAGCTGGGAAACTATTTCAACCGAAATGTAAATTTTGAATTGTTAATTATCTTCCGTTAATTTATAATCATTTCCACTAAATAATATATTGAATGGACGGACATTTACATAAGTTGAGTGTAATCACATGTATTAGTGATAGCACGAAAATATGATAGTGTTTTTATAATGTTAAATTAAGTAAAAAATATATCTAAATCTAAACAAACATAGTACTTTAATAATGAAAATGAAAATTATTAGGATTTAATAACAATTTACTAATTTGTAAATTATTGTTATGAAATTGAAAAAGAAATTAATCTTAAGTTCTAGAAAAAATTCAGCTTATACCCGTATTAAAATTTTATATTAACCCTATGTGTGGAAAATAGAGCTCATCATATATTAAAATATGGGTATGCCATAATATGGGTATGGGTATGCATAATCAAAAACAAAAATGTGCCTTTCCAAGCTTCTTAACCAACAAACACATTTCTAAGTGTTATTACTGAAGCCACATAAGCAGTTAATGAACATTTCCTTGTGCTGTGTGAACAGCTTATTACCTCACGCAAGTATAATGAGTTGACTTTGATTTTGTTCATTTCGCTTGTTTTTTTTTTTTAATGATGATTATATCATATCATAATTTGTACAAAATTAAGTTGAAATCAAGTTTGTAATTTACTATATAAGCCGGCTGCAGTAGGTAGATATGTTAAAAATTAAGTTAAGAGCAAATACATTTCTATAATGCCGAGCACGATTAATCTACAGTCACCACTGTTTTTCATTAATTAGCATGCATTGAAAATGGTTAACTACTATAGAAAAAGATTGCAGTTTTATTATGCATTGGACGAAATTCTCAGGAATAATAAAAATTTCCTCCAAAAGGAAATTTTCTTATTCTTATTTTTTGAAATATTACTGCAATGTTCGCAATTTTCATTTATTAGTGCAAATACTATAAAAACAAAAATGAAAAATAAATAAGATAACAGATAAGACTTACTGTGTGTACAGGCTTTTAATAAAGTAAGCAAACCAGTAAAATCAAATCAAAGTTATTTGTGTCGGGTAAACACAGTATGAAGGTTCAGTTAGTCAGTACGTACCGTAAGAACTTAAGTCAAAGAGAAATGCATAACCAACCACACCTGTGTATTTGATGAGAACGAAACAAACAAAAGCAGCGAACTTTGTTTATTTCGTTCCCTTATGTTTTTACGGTACGTACCGACTAACTAACTCAGTCTTAAAGGCCATATGAAATAGTTGTTTTCAATGTAAATTAAAAAATTGAAAATGAGACAAAGAAATATAAATAAAAAATAATATAAATAAAAAATAATATAAATAAAAAATATAAATAAAAAATATAAATAAAAAATAATAAAAATATAAATAAAAAATATAAATAAAAAATAAAGAGTTTTTTTCGAACAGTAGTGAACTACAACAACAAAAAATTTATTTTTTTATATTATTTTAATTAATTGAATTTTTAGCTGACCATACAGCTGTTTCGAGTATTCCTAAATACCCATCATCAGTGGTTTTGGAAATAATTCTTGTATTTAATTATTCGTAAATAATTATTTTTGAGACTGCAAGCACCAGGATTCGAACTTGGATCCTGCCAGATGTGAAGCTCAGAATCAGCGCACCTTAACCAACTGATCCAAAGCCGTACTTGACTTTTATGTTCGCATATTTTTCTGGAGTTTTGTTACTTTTGCTATGAAAGTTTTTATTAACAATCTTACTTGCTGTGTTTATATTAAAACGAAATCATAAACCAGCTGTAGAACAATATTCAGTTTGTAGAGGCATTATTTTTTGCATGATTTGTTCTTTCTTATGTATAGTACTTAATCTAGGAACGTAGTGCTGAGAAAGTCATGCTAATGTTACCCCACTAGTCGCACGGGCGACTTAATAAAAAATATAAATAAAAACTATAAATAAAAAATATAAATAAAAAATATAAATGAAAAATATAAACTTATGAGATCCAACTATGGGGTTATTTTAGTCCCAGTATACTTATAAAGATTCCAAAACAAAGTTCTGAGATGTGCTGTTAAAGAAAGTGGAAGCAAACACAAAAATGCCTCACGATCTCATAGAGCTCCCAACTTGCCTGCAGGTATTGTGCACAGAACGTCAATAACTTATGCCAAACTTAAGTAAAATTAAGGCTTAAAATTAGTTTTTCTAACAGTTTTCGCACAGTTTACTGCATTTCGTGAATTGAAATTTTACTTATGCTTTTATACTGTTGAATAAGTGATAAAATCAATATATAGAAAATATTTTTCTTTCATTTTTGGATATTTCTTCTATTTAACTTTTAGAAAGCATTATATTCCTAATGTCAACATGGAACAGTGAAAGAAAAAATTTTATTATTTATTTTAATTTTTCATTTTGTAATTTCTGTTGTCTAATGAAAAACTAATTAGCATTTATTTGCTAATTACTTGTCTCAAGATTATCCTGTTTAATTCAAATTATGCGCCGTGATATCTGATAAATAAGCCCTTGGTTATTTAACCAGAGACCCCTTATATATAAAATAATTTGTAATTTATTGTTATTAGTTTAAGATTTAAAAACTTATTGTTAAGTTTTAAATAAAAGCGATTCAATAAAAACTTATTAAAAAATAAAATAAACAGCTAAATAAAATAAAACAAAAATTAAGTAAAATAAAAAAAAAATAAATAAAATAAAATAAATAAATAAATAAATAAAATAAAAAAAAATAAAATAAAAAAAAATAAAAAAAAATTAAATAAAAAAAAATAAAAAATAAAAAAAATAAAAAATAAAAAAAAATAAAAAATAAAAAAAAATAAAAAATAAAAAAAATAAAAAAATAAAAAAAAAATAAAATAAAAAAAAAATAAAATAAAAAAAAAACGTCGAAAAAAAAAAAAACAAAAAAAAAAAAAAAAAAAAAAAAAAAAAAAAAAAACAGTGCTCCGGTTTGTTGGTGCAGACGGCCAGTTTCCAACGGGTCGCGTGCAAGGCATCAAGGGTTTCTCTGACGAAGGGGAAGAGATGGGAAAGACGGGTTGCACGGGGCTCATAGAGCGCCATGTAACGTTCGCACGCTTCTTCACGGTTAATGTGAGCCGCCTCTTCTCCACCTGTATCGAGAAGGCGTGAGACAAGAGCGGCAACGCCATCACCGATCATCGAACGCACGGCGAGGTCATTCTGAGATGGCAGATGATATTCCGCCAGAAGCTCCCGTGCGCAATCCGCAAGATCTGGAAGGGAGTCCAGCAGGGTTCCATCCAGGTCGAAAATTGCCAGTCTTTCGGCAGTCATTTTTCCCTCCCGTGTGAGGATGTCAGAAATCGTAACAGCTTGTGACGTCGACAAATGCACTGGATATTTGACACTCATGCAACCCTGTCTTACCGCCTGTTTTTATGACGTCCAGAACCGCAACCGCCGTTATCCTCGCTGCCGGTCTCGGCACGCGAATGAAGTCCTCTCTTCCGAAGGCATTGCAGCCCCTTGCGGGGCAGCCAATGTTGAAATGGCTTCTTGAAGCCGTTCGTAAGGAGTTTGACAGGATCGTTATTGTGACGGGGCCCGGAATGGCCGATGTCGCTGCAGCTGCAGGACCTGATGCCATGATTGTGGTGCAGGAAGAACGGCTGGGAACCGGCCATGCGGCGTTGCAGGCCGCCTCTCTGTTTGGGGATGGTGATGTTGCCATTCTCTATGCTGACAATCCTCTGATCCGCCCTGAAACCTTGCGGCGTCTTCTGCACACAAAACAGAACGGCGACACGGGGCTGGCGCTGCTTGCAATGCGTCCTGCTGATCCCGGACGTTATGGCCGGGTTGTCATGCAGGACAATATGGTCGAACGCATTGTCGAATGGGCGGATGCAACGGCGGAAGAGCGTGAGATCGGGCTGTGTAATGCTGGTGTGATCTGTGCCGGTGCTACCGATCTGGGGCGTTGGCTTCATGCGGTTCGCAATGACAACGCCAAGGGTGAATATTATCTGACGGACGTTATTGGTCTGGCACGTGCGGATGGTCAGTCTGTGCAGGCTGTTGAAGCGCCAGAGGACGAACTGCGCGGTGTGAACTCAAAATCCGAACTGGCGGATGCCGAGGCTGTTGTGCAGGATCGTTTGCGTCGCGCTGCGATGGATGCCGGAGTGACACTGACGGCACCGGAAACTGTCTTCCTCTCCGGAGATACTGTGATTGAAGCCGATGTGACGATCGAGCCCCATGTCGTCTTCGGAGCAGGTGTGATCGTGCGTTCCGGGGCTGTGATCCGTTCCTTCAGTCATCTTGAAGGCTGCGAAGTTGGACCCGAGGGCAGGATCGGCCCTTATGCCCGTCTGCGTCCGGGTACCAGGCTTGGACGGGATGTCCATATTGGCAACTTCGTGGAGCTGAAAGCCACACAGATGGAGGATGGTGCGAAAGCAGGACATCTGACCTATCTGGGGGATGCATCCATCGGCGCACGGACGAATATCGGTGCAGGGACCATCACCTGCAATTATGATGGTTTTTTCAAACATCGCACCATCATCGGAAGCGATGCCTTCATAGGCTCGGATTCGATAATCGTTGCTCCGGTCAGGATCGGTGATGGAGCCCTGACAGCCGCGTCCAGTGTCATTACCAATGACGTGCCAGCGGGAGACCTTGCTATCGCACGCGCTGTGCAGACAAACAAAACAGGCCTTGCAGTTACGTTGCGAGAGCGCCTGAAGCAGAAAAAGGATGCCAACTGATGTGCGGAATTTGCGCTGTAACAGGGCGTCGTGATGCAACGCCGATCATTTTTGAAGGTCTGCGGCGTCTGGAATATCGCGGTTATGATTCCGCTGGTATCGCCACGCTGTGCAATGGTCAGATCAGCCGCCGTCGTGCAGCCGGAAAGCTGAGCAATCTGGGAGAGGTTCTGGGGCAGGAACCGCTTGCTGGAACAACAGGCATCGGTCACACACGCTGGGCGACGCATGGGGTGCCGAACACGACCAATGCGCATCCGCACGGAACATCGCGCGTGGCGATCGTTCATAACGGGATCATAGAAAATTTTGAGCGGCTCCGTTCGGAGCTGGAAGCGGCAGGACAGGTTTTCGAGACCGAAACCGATAGCGAGACGATTGCCAGACTGGTCGATCAGTATCTTCAGGAGGGATATCTCCCTCAGGAAGCCGCGTTTGCAGCTCTGGATCGTCTGGAAGGTGCTTACGCTGTGGCGATGATCTTCGCTGGTCATGACGGGCTGCTGATTGGTGCGCGTCATGGTGCACCTCTCGCTGTTGGGTACGGGGACGGGGAGATGTTCCTTGGGTCGGACAGTCTGGCTCTGGCTCCTCTGACCCGCCGCATCGCCTATCTGGAAGATGGTGATCGTGTTGTCGTGACGTCAGAAAGCGCGATGTTCTTCACGGAAGACGGGCAGCCTGCGCAACGCGCCATTCAGACGACAGCCTTTATTGCCGGAGCAGTCGGCAAGGATGGTTACCGGCATTACATGGAAAAGGAACTTCATGAACATCCTCTGGTCATTGGCCAGACGCTGCGTCGCATGATTGATCCTGCCAGACGCCGGATTGCGTTGCCTGACATGCCTTTCAATCTGGCCGAGGTACCTCGTGCCGTGATCAGTGCCTGTGGTTCTGCGTTTTATGCAGGCATGATCGGTCGATACTGGCTGGAGAATATTGCCCGTCTACCTGTCGATATCGATGTTGCCAGTGAATTGCGCTATCGCGATCCACCGCTGGCTCCGGGTTCACTGGGGATCATGATCTCCCAGTCAGGAGAGACGGCGGATACATTGGCTGCGTTACGCTCCCTTCGTAGCAAGGGGCTTTCGGTTCTGTCAGTCCTCAATGTCGAACACAGCACGATGGCGCGTGAAAGCGATGTTGTTTTCGGCACTGTTGCCGGCCCTGAAATTTCCGTTGCATCGACGAAAGCTTTTACCGCGCAGTTGACTGTTCTTGCCTGTCTGACCGTTGCGCTGGCGCGAGCAAGAGGCGCGATTGATATTGCCGGAGAGGAAGAGCTGGTTTCGTCTTTGCTCGACCTGCCCAGTCGGGCTGCGGAAGCGCTTCAGCAGGGTGATGATATTCGCCGGATGGCAGAAATTGTTGCTGAAGCTCAGGATGTTTTATATCTGGGCCGAGGCAGTGCTTTTCCTGTTGCTCAGGAAGGTGCGTTAAAGCTGAAGGAAATTTCCTATATTCATGCTGAGGCTTATGCCGCGGGAGAGATGAAGCATGGACCGATCTCTCTGATTGATCGCAGCGTGCCTGTGGTTGTCACGGTTCCGTCGGGGGCCTTGTTTGAAAAAACCCTTTCCAATGTGCAGGAAGCGAAGGCCCGTGGAGGACGCATCCTTGCATTTACGGACACGGAAGGGGCTGCACGCGTGCGTGAAATCGCCGAGCATGTGGTGGTCATGCCCCGTGTCAGCGAATTCCTTGCTCCTGTCGTGCAGGTTATCCCGACGCAGATGCTGGCATATGAAGTTGCATTGCTCAAAGGCACGGATGTTGATCAGCCGCGTAATCTTGCAAAATCCGTAACAGTCGAATGAGGTTCGAATAAATGATTTTTTCCTGTATTTTCAGTGTTTTTCGTAAATTCCTTTTCCGTATCGTGTCCATCATCAAACGCTGAATGCGCAAGGCCGATCAATGCGGATGCCAGATTTTTCATTCCGGCATCCCAAACCAGATCGGCCAGTTGCAGAAGGGAATTCGAAACAGTCATGGGGCTGATTTGAGCAGTGTAGGGAAGGCGGATAACATTTTTGCAAATATGCGAGTCATGTCCGTTCGAAGTTTCTGAAAAGAGAGATTTCATGGATATGCCATTTATTTTAAAAATAGATTTTTTAATCAGCAAAAGATGCTGTTTCAGCTTTCACAGAGCCCAGTGTTTGACTGAACCCGGTTATGATGGCTGTCCCTGATGAAACTGTCGCTCGTTTAATTCGGAGAGCGGATTGCAGGGTTATAAATTCCTATCATATTTGGTTCCGGAATTTGGTTATTATAGATTGAGATGGTCCCGTTTTTTTCGGACAGGAGGTCAAGCTATAATCCGACCTGAGACGGGACGAGACGAGACGAGACGAGTTTTGTAAGGCAAGTTACAGCTCAAGGTTCTGTCATGATGTTTGTCGAACACGATGGATGCAGAGTTTTGTATCGAGGGGCTTGAGGATGTCCTCACGCGTTCTGGCAATCCCGAAATCTTCAATTCCGATCAGGGATCGCAATCTGCGGCACCCCACTTCATAGAGATTCTGGAAGAGCATCAGATTTGGATCAGCATGGGCGATGGCTGGACAACGTGTTCATTGAGTGTTCGTAGCGGCTGCTGAGTGTTTATTTACACGCGTTTGAGGCCGGGTCAGAGTTGATGACGGAGCTTGTCATTATAGATACAGTTTGTATTCCAGATCGAAAAGACGAACAATTTGGATTTTCTCGATGTCAACTGCTTGAAATGCGAGCCTCCCGGCAAGCATTGCGGTCATAAAAAATTAGAAAACACAACAAACTGTAGCAGTGGCGTTGGAAAAAGAACAACCTGATTGAGAATATGTTTTCAAAACCCAAAAACTGGGGAGCTATTTTCACCAGATACGACCACTGCGCTTATACATTCCTATCGGCAATCCATATCACATCAAGTTTTATCTTCGAGCATCAAAAGGATGCGTCCTGAGCCTTAAACCGTTCGTTCCATACGAACGAATTGATCGATATAATCTTCTGGATCGCATGATCTCCTCCGGTCATTCTGGTCGTAACAGCGACGCAGGAGCTTGATTAATATGACCGAAACAGACATGTGCGACATCGTCATTATTGGTGGGGGCGCAAGTGGAGCGCTGACGGCTTGGAATCTTGCCGCGCGTCATGGCGTGAGCTGCACTGTGATCGATCCCTCCGAACGGCTGGGGTTCGGGTTGGCCTATTCGACGCCGTCACTGAAGAACCTACTGAATGTGGCGGTAAAGGGCATGAGCGCTGATCCGGATGATCCAGACCACTTTCTGAAA